TGCTTAAGCCAGTGAAAACAACGCAACAGTAACAGCTGAGTCGTACCCAAGTTAACCTTCACACAGTGAGGTCTTAGGTACAGAGTGATAACCCAACACCCAACAACAAGCAGTGATGTGCTAATCCGTCCACGATAGGGAGCCTGGGACCGCACCTGACTGTACACCACTTGAGTGACTGAGGTCCTGTGACACCAGACCACGTGGTGCCCCCATGATGCTACGACACCACGTAGTGAGTGAGTTACTACAGCATCATGCGAGGTCCCTCATAACACCATCTGTGAGGGAGTTACTACACCACGTCAGGTCCCTCATAACACCATCTGTGAGGGAGTTACTACACCACGTGAGGTCCCTCACAACACCATTATCTGCGAGGCACTACTACACCACGTGAGGCCCCTCATAACACCATCTGTGAAGGAGTTACTACACCACGTGAGGCCCCTCATAACACCATCTGCGAGGGAATTACTACACCACGTGAGGCCCCTCATAACACCATCTGCGAGGGAATTACTACACCACGTGAGGCCCCTCATAACACCATCTGTGAAGGAGTTACTACACCACGTGAGGCCCCTCATAACACCATCTGCGAGGGAATTACTACACCACGTGAGGTCCCTCATAACACCACCTGTGAGGGAATTACTACACCACGTGAGGCCCCTCATAACACCATCTGAGGGAACTACTACACCACGTGAGTTCCTCCTAACACCATCTGGGAGGGAGTTACTACACTACGAGTTTGCTGTTCAACACCTACATTAATCTGTATGTTCACTGTATGTTCCTTTACCTTTCTCTAATGAAGGCTTTTGTTAAACCACCAATGTATGTAATAAGTCATTTATGTCCAATGTATATTTTCAGCCTTCGGGCTGCAGAATATTTTCAATAAACCTTTAATTATTATTTATTATTATTATTATTAACACTATCTGTGAGGGAATTACTACACCACGTCAGGTCCCTCATAACACTATCTGTGAGGGAATTACTACACCAAGTGAGGTCCCTCATAACACCATCTGTGAGGGAATTACTACACCACGTCAGGTCCCTCATAACACCATCTGTGAGGGAATTACTACACCACGTCAGGTCCCTCATAACACCATCTGTGAGGGAATTACTACACCAAGTGAGGTCCCTCATACCTCCATCTGTGAGGGAATTAGTACATCACGAGATGCCCCTCATAACACCATCTGTGAGGGAGTTACTACACTACGTGTTTACTGTTCAACACCTCAGCGCACATGATCTACGTGACCTCCACTGTAAACATTAATCTGTATGTTCTTTTCCTTTCGCTTATGAAAGCTTTGTTAATTACCCCCCCCATACACACACATGTTTTGTATCTAATAAGTCATTTATGGCCAATGTATATTTTCAAAAAACGTTAATTATTATTATTATTATTATTATTATTATTATTATTATTATTATCGTTATTATTATTCGTGCTGTTATTAATACTATTATTATTACTATCCTACGGGTAGTATCAGGCCAAGCTAACACAGTAGTCTACCACCCAATCAACACTGCTGTTCCCACGACCTGACTCCCCTCCCCACCCCACCCGCCACCTGAAGCTCAATAATCCGTTACTCTTTTGCTTGTTGTTGTATTTTGTAAAGTACTTTAAGGGAAAATACAGCGTTGAGTTACAGTAATGATAAGCTGCCCGGGGAGAACCACACCCCCAAGATGGCCTTAAGTCTGTTGGTTAAATTTCCCTTTCAGTGTAATGTTAAAACCAAGTTGACTGGATAATTCATGTTAAATACCAACCCCTCCTCTCCTCTGCCCATAGCTGGAGATGTAAGAATTAAATGCTTTATTCCCCAATAACTGAAGATGCGTACCACTATTTAACTGGTTCTACAATTTCCATTAACTTGAAGATGAAAAAAAAAATAAACCGACGGGCTGATTTATGTTCAATTTTCCCATAACGCGAGAAGTTAGTGGCTCATTCGAGTTAAATTTCCTCACTAACTGGGAATGTGTGTCAACAACTAACTGGATCATTGGTGTTTCCCGTAACTGGAGATGTGAAAATTAAAGATGAATGAATATAAATACCCGTCTAGTTGGTTGACTCTAATTGTTTGAACCTTTCCTCGAAGTTGAGACGTGTGAGAGTATCTAACAGACTGAGGGGAAGTGAGGGGAAAGGAATGAAGGAAAAAATAAAAGGGGACGGGGAGGATGGAAAGGGGAATACCGACTCTGCCCCCCCCCCCTCACCTATCCTGGATAATCCCAGGATATAAATTTGTTTAAGAATGAAGCTCCCTACCAAACATAATCCCACCCTCAGGATTGTGAAAACCACTATTGTTCTACAGAGAAGAGAACTGTGTATTCACGGTGACTGGACACTAACACCTGGAATATTCAGTGGCGCTGGGAACCACGACGCAGAACAGTAGTAACGTCATTGTCAATAACGCCCGACCGGACCGAACCCACTCTACACAAAAAAACTATTTATTATTTACCTTATCCCTTTGAGAAAGTCATTTACCACATCAATCTAAACTAGAAGGGAAGTGAATTCTGAATTAAAATGCATCGACGAGAGACAAGCATCGTCTCCTCACTGAACTTCATCACGTGATCAGTGTCTCTCCCTCATTTACAGTAGGTTCATCATCTGACAGAGCCCCGCGAAGGGAGAGTCCCACGTGTGTGTGTGACTCCCACGACCCCGCCACCATATTGCGGCTCCTCCACCCGGCACCAACCATATGCTTCCCGACACCAACTACCATATTTGCACACCTATTATTCCTTTCGCTATTACCCTTGTAAGTATAATTATACGATTAATTCAAGATAAAATAAATTAACTCATAAATACACTATTGATGCAACAGGGAAAAAAAGCAAAAAATGTATATTATCCACAGAAATTTTTGGCTAATAATAATTCCTTCCGCCCCTCAAAAAATCCTTTTCGCGCATCTGTTTTGTCATCAATGATTCCAGTGTTGAAACAATGATGACAGTAAATATAGAACCGTGAGACTTGGACACACCCACGAGAGAAATGAAATACTGTACAGCCGTGAGAAATGTCGAGCCAGGAAGCGAAAATTACACCTCACAATTACTGTTACAAATAGACGATCTGTTACAATACCTGACTAGTGTCGGTAAAGTGGGAGTTTGACATTCATTTACTCATTGTTATTTACACTATGCATTTTTTTTTGTAACGCTGACATGATAAAAATCTGCGTTCATTAACTATACAATTCACTGAAATATATACGAGTGTCGAGGGAATTTTGTCAACAACAGCACTTTCTGAAGGAGACCATTCTACATCATGATTACATTTCCAAATATACAAAATAAGTTCACCGTTTCAAAACCTATTCCTAATCGCATTTAGGCTGAAGAAAGACCTTTATAAACACAATTAATTAAGAAAGTATAGCCAAGTCGGAGGTTGATGTATACATTATGATACTGGTACTCTGTTAAGCCTTGCACAATATACTTTATTACTTTCAAACAACACTAAATTAGCAAAATAAAAAGTTGAAAGTAAGACACGTAAACAAGATCAGTGACGTTCCAATGTTTCTCAGCTTCACTAAATATGACAACAGCAATATTTATTTATCCAGATAGATCGTTAGAGGCTAGACGGGGACTGGCTGTTTCCATTGTGCAGGTTAGACAAGCTCACATATCCGTTTTGGACCAACCGCTTAAAAGTGAACCAAAATGGGAGGTGATTCTTGGCCGAAAACTCAGCATCTCTTGGACCGCTTTTAGGAAACGTGATGCGGTGATCATACCTCATGGTACTAAAGGCTGTAACTATCCCCTCTCACACACACACACACAAAAGTCCATTCATGGCACCTGCAGCTGGAAATCACCAAACTACCACAACTAACTACCATTCCCTTTATCTCACCGTCCTAACCACACTTTGCATACACCGCGCAGAGGCAGCCACGGTTCAGATACCAAATAGATTGACCTTATTGAGGAAGAAGGAAGAAAATTACAGAAAAAAAGAACTGAAAAAGGATTTGGGCATGATCTTTGCACCATTTTTTAGGGAATTTTCTTTCACCAGTAATTGTGTACACCAAGAAGCAAAACTTCACGTTGATGCCCATAGCTCCAGGACATCAGTCACGGGTAGTGCATGATATTCATCCTTATTAGTGTATTTAATAACCTAACCTAACCTAACCTAACCCGTTCTTATTGTTATTCCGCCGTGTGATTCAATGTCGCTCTGATACACTCCCTCCAGCCATTCACCAAGGACAACCTCACCGTGGCAGAAGCTCCCCCACGTCTCGTTACGCACAGTGAGTTACATACATGAGACTCCTGCCGATTCATTCTCTTGGGTGCCCTGACTCCAGCACCTGTACACTCCCTCCCACTCTCTCTTCTCATCCCCTCTCACGTGAGCAGGCATCACCACATATGTTTGTATCTACACTCGTCTAAAATTACCTCATAACAAATTTAGTGATTCAGGTTTCTTTTCCCGGCTGCGTTAAAGTTAGTTCACTTCTCTCCCTCTGTGGCGTCGCTTTTTTTTTTTAGTGAGTTTTTTGTTTTATTTTTTAAGGGTGACTCAGCACAACCAGTATCTAATTCTTGGTCAGCTCTCGTTCTTAATATTGTACTATGGACTGGTTCCCTGCTTGATCTGAGTTCACTTAAGCTACGATCTTACTGAATCAAGTCTTTTCTTCACGTCACTACAATATAATGCAATGCTGCCCTTGTCTAGTCGTTGCGTTCTTATACATCTTGTATGTACATCCTACTGAGCAGATCAATGTTGCTCCTCGGGGTATTCACAGTCACCTAACATGACGCTCTTACTAATTCTTGTCTCTCCTCACGTGGTACTATGTAAGGTTGCGTCGTGTAGAGCGCCTCTTATACATTCGTGCAACTCAGTGGCCGCCACACCTGCCCACCACACTCACCCTGCATGCTGATAGTCGCCCCCTCCCGCACCTGCTACACCACACTCTCTCCCACCCCACCCCACCCACCACCTCTCTCTCCTTCATGCTATAGCCATTACCTGCTTCTTCTTCTCTCTCAGCAGGTATACAACTATTCTCTGATTTTTCCTACTACCAGGTACACTGTTTACCTTATTTTCCTACTACCAGGTACACTGATTACCATATTTTCCTTATTACCAGGTACACTGTTTACCTATTACCAGGTACACTGATTACTATATTTTCCTTTATTACCAGGCACACTGTTTACCTTATTTTCCTACTACCAGTATACACTGATTACCATATTTTCCTACTACCAGGCATACACTGATTACCTATATTTTCCTTTATTACCAGGCACACTGTTTACCTTATTTTCCTACTACCAGGCACACACTGTTTACCTTATTTTCCTACTACCAGGTACACTGATTACCATATTTTCCTACTACCAGGTACACTGATTACCATATTTTCCTTATTACCAGGTACACTGATTACCACATTTTCCTGATTACCAGGTACACTGATTACCATATTTTCCTACTACCAGGTACACTGATTACCATATTTTCCTACTACCAGGTACACTGATTACCACATTTTCCTGATTACCAGGTACACTGATTACCTTATTTTCCCTACTACCAGGTACACTGATTACCATATTTTCCTTATTACCAGGTACACTGATTACCATATTTTCCTTATTACCAGGTTCACTGATTACCTTATTTTCCCGACTACCAGGTAGTGTGTGTGAGTAATAATAATAATAATAATAATAAACGGTTTATTAATAGAGTTGCAGCCGGTGGCTGAAAATATGCAAACTTACATGTGATTTAGACATAATGCTACGCGTTTAATACATTTACAGGGTTGTACAGTACATAAATCAAGAGTTTTTTATTATTTTAACAATAGATGGGATGATGCTGTTCTTATATCTATCAGTGCAGGCTCTTATGGGCTGAATTTTGCTGTAGTGGCGGACTGCGCGAGGTGGGCGGGGAATGCCAGTGGCAGGAGAGGGCGATGACGAGGACGGTGCAGTAGTCCACTGCCAAACCTTGCTAGTGCTTGGTGGTGGAGGTCACTGAGGGATGGCATTTCCAGGGTGGAGAGAGCGTTGATGTAGCCGGAATAGTCTGCGCCGAGCATGATTCTGCAGGCCCTTTTCTGTACCTTCTCTAGCTGACGTTGTTGGGTAGAGTTGAGAGAAGACGACCAGGCTGGTGACGCATACGTTGATTTGGGGAGAATAAAGGCGTTGTAGATGGTCCTCAGCTCTGACGTGGGTGCCCCAAGTGACCTGAGTCGTAATAGCATGTAGAGACGGTACGAGGCTGCCTTGATTGTGTTGTTTACATGGGCCTTCCAGTCAAGTTTGTGGTCTATGGTAACACCCAGGAGTTTGGCAGACTGCACCAGCTGGAGAGGATGGGCACCCACTGTGACTACTGGAGTGGTGGCGGTATTGATGTGCATGACTACGGTTTTGGTGTGGTTGATGGTGACCTTGTTCTCCGTAATCCATGCCTTTAGCCTGTCCAGGGTGCCTTGTAGCGATGAGTAGTGTGTGTGCGTTAAGGAAAACAAGAGTGATCATTAATTCCTCCAAATATAGTGCACTAACGCCGCAAACAAACCCAGCCTTCCCCCATACAAAAAAAATATCAGTAAGGAGACTTGAGAGATAAAGAGGAGAATTCTCTGACCTAACCTCCCTTATATCTCACCCTCCCACCTCCACCCCCACGTTCCCCCCTCTCCCCCCCTCACCATTCACACCTCAACCCTGACCTCTTCCCTCACAACCTCACTCCTCCTGTTCTCACCCCCACCCCCTCTCACTCAACCTCACCTCTCCTGCTCCTTTCAACCTCACTTTTCCTCACCTTCACCTTCAACTTCATTCTCTACATCTCTCCTGCCCTGTTATACCCCCTCTCTGATTATCGACAACGAGCGACCAGCTGACAGGTTCTCTCACGAGGGGGAGAGGGGAGGGTCAGGAGGTGAATCAGAGACAGCAGGTGGTGGTAATGACGGAGGTGAACAGGGTAGGGGGGGAAGGAGGTAAGGGGTGAGAGAGAGGAGGAGCGGGAGAAGGGGTTGGGGAGGAGAGTGAAGAGGAGGGCGAGAGGAGGTGAGAGAAGATGCATGAAGGAGGAGGAAAAGGTTAAAGAGATGAAGGGGAATGAGGGAGTATGGTGGGGAGAGGGAAGGAGGGTGGAGGGGGAACATTGGAAAGAAGATGAAGGAAGGAGGGAGGGAGGAAGGGAAGGGGTAGACAAGTGGAGGAGGGAGGATGGAAGAGGTGGTAGGAAGGAACGGTGAGGGAGGAATGGAAGAGATGGGAGGGAGGAGCCGAGACCAATCCTATGAAGGAAGGAAGGGGGGGGGGAGGACAATAACGAAGGAGGATGGAGAAGAGAACAATACAAAATAAAAATCACTTATCCACACACTCTTTATCGCTCGATTTACTTATTCATTTTCTTATCTAACTCCACTAACGGATTTCTTAAGTCAGGCTACAGTGAGGCGAGAATGTCACTAATATATGGACTGAGCAGAAGAGGACGGCTGGAATCAATGTAAACGTATGTATGTGTGTATGTAAACATGTGTGTGTATGTATGTATGTATGTAATCGTGTGTGTGTGTGTGTGTGTGTGTGTGTGTGGTACCGGGATTGGTCCAGGGTACAAAGCCATCACTACCACCACCTTCATTACTGCCACCCACCCACCCACCCACGTAGTTTACTCCTCCCTTAACACCCACTCCCCCAAGCCGGTGGAAAGCCCTCTCCCTCCCTCCCTCCCTCCCTCCGTATCTGTACTCGGTAATCCTGGAAACGCTAAAACAACAAAGAAAAACGGTGACTTTCTTAGGTTGACTGACTGACTTATTGACTGTAGCTGTTTTAACCTCTGCTCTATCTACGCATCTGCTGGACCACTGTGAACCTTTGCGACGATTTCACTGAATACTGTCAGTCTATCATTGTCTTAACCTCAGGAGATAACAAATCTATAATGAAGCAGCAGACTCAAAAGCCGAAAATCTAGGTTAAGTTGAATGAACTTTGACCCAGGGCCTCCGAGTGACCTTTAAGCGACCTCCATCAACATCCTGCATCCGAGGAGGACCCGGGAAAATCTTATTGTGATAATTTGAAGGTCATCATCATTCGAGGCTTTACACAGTTTAACACATTAATGAACAAGTGTATTGATTAACGTAATGGAAAAGGTCAAGGCTTCGCACTAATCAGCCTTCACCTCCCGCTTGGTGGTTAGTCGTTATGAACCCCACTGGTGCTAATCAGCTTCAATTTATTCACACTCTGGATTGGAACCTAGTTTTAATGGGCCCCAGTTCTAGTAAGTCCTAAGTCTAATGGTTCAATTAGGTTACGGCCCATTTAGACCTGAAATTATCCCACTTAAAGGGACGAATCTCATAAACCGTGAAGATAATTTGACCCCTAAAGTCCTATTACACAAAGGCTGAAATAGTACGTCCCCACCCTTTACGTTGAGAAGTCTTCCTCGAGGAACAAGGCGTCTCTACACGCCACCAACAACACACCGACATTAGGAAACTGACCCAGACTCCGGCGGACTAGTGTTTACAAAGTCCCTTGATGTTTGTGCTTACAATGTTCGCACTGCGTAGGCAAGATAGCTATGTAATCATCAAGCATCATTATCGTCATAGTAGTAGTAGTAAATAATAATGATAATAATAATAATAACAACAATAATAATAATAATAATAATAACAATAATAATAATAATAATAATAATAATAATAATAATAATAATAATAATAATAATAATAATAACAATAACAATAATAATAACAATAATAATAACAATAATAATAATAATAATGATGATAATAATAATAATAATAATAATAATAATAATAATAATAATAATAACAAACACGACACAGGAGACACAATGCCGTACTATAAGTTTACCCTGGCTGGCCTCGGTCATGTAAAAAAAATCTCTGCAGTCATTATAAGTCGTATTAACTTTTTCATTCATACAAACCATTTCCTGCTGGGGCGGAGAGTGGTCGGGCAGGTGCTGAGCCCCCTATTCTTAGCATTCAGCAGCTAGCGGGTTACTCGTTACTCCACTCCCTCGGCAGGATGTTAGTCCATCGACAAATTGTGTCACTATCGGCAACATCATCTGATAGTGTACTCGTTTTATTAATAGTACGAAGCAGACATTATTCATACTGATAATATTCTTATTATTATTATCATCATGCCCGTGTCAGAGGTAATCTAAGATTCCCTGTTCGTAACCAGATAGTTGTTGTTAGTCCTGTATTATCCGACCCAGGCCGCTGTACCGCTGGGGTGAATCAATAATAAACCACATGGCGCTATATATTAGGGCTCCCTGGCCGGCCACTACATCACCCCAACAATCATGAGTGAACACCATTGTCTGTGGGACAAGAATGTGACTTGGAAATGACAGGTGGATATGAGCGTGGGAACACCTCGCCTCTCTGCCCTGGCGAATCGAGAACCGCGCCCGCCTCACCGTAAAAACTGATTCCTCTCTTTAATTAACGAACGACGAAGCCTTTTCATTGGCCGCAAGGAAAAGTCGATGAAAAGAATGATGGGTAGTGAGTAGTGGGGCGTTAACGCTGTTCAATATTGATGGAATACTCGAAAATTCCCGCCGAAATCCGACAGGTGTTGGCGGTATGGGAACGAAGCGCATGGACACCAGCAGTTGCTAAATCGTGATATTCTGAACTATTTTTTTTAACACGCCTACCAGAGGGAAATAACTGATAATAATCCACGGATGTTAAAAAGAAGAGATGTAGAAATAAGAAAGACAGGGACGAATAAATGTGTGTGCGTGCGTGTGTCTGTGTGAGGGAAAAGAAAAACAAAATAGGGTAAAGTTTGCGAGTAGTTGGGTGAGG